AGTTGCTTCCATGGAAGTGGCAATTCCCTGCTGTCTCTGTACAAATCCCAACTCTTCCACTTCTTCAGCTGCCATGAAATAGTGATTGGAGGTGGAAAATTTGGAATTGGAAAAACTGGAGATGAAATGGCTCACGTGCAGCCTTTCTGTCAGAGCTTAAATTTGGGAAATGGCAATGCAGAGCAGCAGGAGAGCTGCCAGCAGCAGGGAGCATCCCGGGGAAAAGGCCAGCCTGGGTGCCTGGGGACACACCAAGATGGGAACTAGAGGACCTTTCCCTCCCCTGGAGACCTCTCCTGTGGAGAGATGAAGGAGCAGTGGAGGCCAAGCCATCAAATGCCTTCAAAGGGAGGAGGATTTATTAATTCATTTCCATTTAGCCTTTGCTGAACACAGCCCACAGGGAGGGAAGAGCTCCCTCCCCTCTGCACCCCCAGGAGACAGGGCTGGCTGATGCCAAAAACCCTTCCACATCTGTTTTGAGGAATATTAAGGGGTTTTATAGGCCAAGGATGAGATCTGGAGGCTATAATTAGCAGCAGACAATGCAGTCCCCCCTCCCAGAAGTTACTCCCTCTCTCTTGCCCCCAAAATGTTGGGTCTTAGCAGAAATCAGCAATTAGGCACCAAGACTCACAACTGCCCCATGGTCAGTGCCTGATTTGCTGAGGCTAAGGGATATTTTTAGAGGACAAAGGGAATCTGCTGGTGACATGCAATTATTTTCAGAGCGTCTAGAAAAGGCACAGTTGCTTCTAGTTCTATGGATGCTGAGGGTGCCAGGGGAGGGGAGCAGTGGGGATGCACCATGTGAGGGACACAGTCCCACATCTCCATCTCCCATCCTTCTCCCAGATTGTTTGGAGGAGGGATGGATGGCAAGGCAGGCAGGATGCAGGGATGGCCCAGGCTCCCTGGGGACTGGTGGTAACCCCAGTGGACTCAGCATTAGAGGGGGATGTGGTTGCGTCTAGACCTGCAGGACAATGGCATGTACTGGGAGAAACCCATAGGAAAACAGGCTCTGCATCTTCATAGAATCCCAGAATGGTTTGAGTTGGAAGGGATCTTAAACACCAACTAGTTCCACCCCCTGCCATGGGTAGGGACACCTTCCACTAGCCCAGGTTGCTCCAAGCCCCATCCAACCTAGCCCAGAACACTCCCAGGGATGGAGCAGCCACAGCTGCTCTAGGCAACCTGTGCCAGTGCCACAGCCCCCTGACAGACAGGGAAGAATTTCTTCCCAATATCCCATCTACCCCTGCCCTCTGGCAGTGGGAAGCCATTCACTCTTGTCCTATCCCTCTAGGCCCTCTCCCTGTGAAAGCATAAATACACTGAGGATCAAGAGATGCTCCAGTAACTGGGAATAGGGCACGGAAAAATACCTTCCGCAACAGTTTTTCTTGGCTGGAGGAAGAATCAGCAAACCTTGAAAAATCACCCCGAAAAAATACGGTTAATCATGTTCTGAGGAGTTTAATTAGCCCTAATGGGAGGTGGGAGTTATGGAAGAGAAAGGCAGCACAGATCCTTTATCAGACACTGGAGAATCCACATGCTCCACCCAAAACCATCACCTCAACATCCTGCTCTGGGTCATGTCTTTAACTGACACGGTGGAACCTCTTCCGTTGGGAAAACACACCTGGGTGCTGCTCCTAAACTGCCATCCCCCAATCCCTAAGGAGAGCCTGCTCCAAGCAGAGGAAAAAGAGGGATTAAAAGGGTGGAGCACAGCAGGCAAAGGACTGACTCACTCACCACACTGGTGACAACTGCCTGTCTCCATGCCTGAGCTGGGGAGGAGGACTGGGGTCCTGAGGGGCTGGGGACAGGTCATGCCCCCACAGCTCCACAGCTAGGGGCTCATCCCTTTATCCCAGTGCAGAGCCCCACAGCTCCTGAAGGTTGGGACCCCTCTGAGCATCCCACCGGGACACACAGGCACTCCCATCCATCCCTCGGAGCATCCCACCAGGATGCACAGGCACTCCCATCCATCCCTCTGAGCATCCCACCGGGACACACAGGCACTCCCATCCATCCCTCGGAGCATCCCACCAGGATGCACAGGCACTCCCATCCATCCCTCTGAGCATCCCACCGGGACACACAGGCACTCCCACCCACAACCTTACTACATACCCTTACTTACTTCAGGAGCTCCTGCAGCTCCACCCATGCCTCCTCCTAACTCCAAAGCGCCGGAACTGGCTGCCACTTCCCTAAAAATCACCCCAAATCCGGAGTGAAAGGCTCAGCCCATCCATTTCCCTGCCCGAGGCAGGAGTTGCCTTAACCTGTTCTCTGGCGCTGGGCTCAGCGGATCACCAGAGCGAGAGCACAGTAGATGGAACATGTCCTTAAATTCCGACTGGTTTAACCCCTCCCTTAAGCCTGGGAGCAATTTACATCTCCAAGAGTCAAACTGATGCAAACAACTGTCACTTTATTGTCACGTCCAGCCCGTACCGCAAAAGGCACACAACAAACTTCATTGGTACAAAAGAATTTCCCTCCAGGGTTTTCCGTAGAGTTTTCCTTGGGTTTTTTTAATTCCTTTTGTTCCTTTTGTAACACAGTCACTGGCTCTCCCATCGTCCCGATGGGAAGATCCTTTCACAGAAAGGACTAGTTCATGCAGACCGACAGCTCGTTATTGCAGCGGGAATGGCAGGAAGGGCAGGTGGGGACAGCCATTCCGTCCCCATCCGACCCACATGGAATAAATGGGAATAAACAGCACCTCTGTGTCCTGCCCTGCTCCCTGGCACTGCTACTGGTTGGCCAGGGGTGAGCTCCATCCCAGCCCTCAGCATCATCCCAACTCCATCACTCCAACCCCATCACTCCAACCCCATCACTCCAACCCCATCACTCCACTTAGACTGCAGGATAACGGGATGGGGGGAAATAACTGAAGAGGCCCTGGTTTAGCTGTCCCTCCCAAATCCTGAGCAATGTTGAGCATTTCTTTACACATTTTATCCCTGTGATCCCTCTAGCTCCATGTTTCTGCAGAGCAGTGGGTGAGGAGCCCACAGAGAGCACCCAGGCTGCCAGCAGGACCCCCCAGCTGGGTGCTGCAGCCACCCACAAGTGCTGGCAAAGGGGGGAAAAAAGAGGCTGGAGATGAATCTGGGGGGATTTTCCTGCTTGGGAACACATGTTGCTGGCGCACACACCACAAACCCAGCCATGGATTGGAATCTGGAGTGGCAAACTATTCCAGGCTGGGATGTAGCACCCATTAGAGAGGTGTTTGCTGTGGTCTCCCCCAAACCAGAGCAGGGCACACAGCCCTGAGCCCCTAGGCATCCTCCTCCAGCTGCCCTGGGTGGATTTAGGGAAGATAAGGATGTTTTAGGGATGCTCTAGGGGCCACCATGCTCCTGCCTGCCCTGCCAGCATGTGGCTGCCAACATTATTTTCCCATCAAATCCCTCATGCCAGGTGAGATCAAGCTCTGGGGTGGGAACACAGTGCCAGTGCCACGATCCCATGACAGCACACAAAGCTCTCCCATCCCTGCTCCCAAATTCCAGTAACACCAAGGTTTTTTTGCACTGTGCCTATAGCTACACTCCATTTCTTTTGGTACCAGCTTTCTTGGCTCCCTCCCCCAACATTTCTTATAAAAATAAGATTGTGCTTATTTATAAAATTATTCTCTTTTTTTTTTTTTGCTTAAGAAAAGTTTCCAGTTAAAAAAACAATGTGATATCAAAATATGGCAAAACTTTGGCTGTTAATGGCTAAACTCTAATTAAAAATCTTCTCCAAAAAGGCATTGATTGTGCTGTGAGTATCAGCTCTGGAATGCTTCACCCTCCAGTACCAATGGCAAATATTCCACCTGGGCAGGATGGCTTCCCTAGAAGCCACCCTTGGATTTCTCTAGCACATCACCATCCTCCTCTGGCAGAGTTATTCCAACCGTAAAAGACTTAAAGACGCAGGAAAAGCCTTGGGAATACACAATGGAGGCTGCGCTGGGAAGAGCCACATGGACAAGGCAGTTGCATACATATTCTCCTCGAGAGGAAAGTCTATTTTCTCACCTTAGTGCTTAGAAAAAATAGGATTGTTTATATGGTTCATGAAAGAAGAGAGGCAAATCTTTTGTATAAAAGGTATTTTAGAGCAGGAGTTAAATGCAAATGGTTCTGTAAGATCCAGACATATATAAACATACATACCTTGATATATTTATATATGTATTCTCTAGATATTCAACATTTGGGCTGTATTATTGCAATATCCTTACAGGTGATCTATTCTTTTCCATCCTCCTTTGCTCGCTTTTTGTTTTGGGTAGGTGTTTGTTTGGTTTGGGGGTTTTGCTCTCCAAAAAAACTCAAAGGAAAAGGCAAAAACCAAGTTGCAAATGGCTCTGAGAGCTCCCAGCAACACCCACCTCGCTGGGGACTGCTCTGGCCTGATCTCCAGCACATGTCTGGGGAAGAACTGGGATGATGCTCTGTCCCAGATGCTGCTTCCTCCACGGAACATCACTGTGCCCAGAGATCCCTGGCTGGTTATTGCTTGATTCTCCCTCCCCATACTGGCCTTTAGGGTTATTTACAATTCTTTGGCTTGACTTGAACACAACAGTCTGGCACTTTCTCTCCAGCTGCCACTGGAGCCACTGGAGCTGCCGGATAGGGGCAAGGAAGGGAAGAGGCCACCTCTCCATGAGAAAACATGGATGAGCTCCTTCTGGATCCAACCAGATGTGCTTCTCCCAGTCAAAATAAGACAACTTGTGTTTGGCACAAACTCCTCTGGAGGAGATGCTGAGGGACCACCAGTAGGACTCCACCGTGCCCAGGGATCCACATTCTGCCCTCCATCGGGACAATCCTCCCAGTGCCATGGACTCCATGGCCTCGGTGTGCAGCGGTGGGGGAAAGGTGGTGGTGATGCCCCCCATGCAGGGCAGGGAGCTCCAGCCTCACCCTGAGGGCAGCAGCAGGTCCTGCCCCCCACGGCACTCAGACGACGAACTCGGAGACTTCGTCGTGGGTGAGATCCAAGGAGAAGTATTTGCTGGTTCTTTTCACTGGGAAGGTCTCCTGGATGTTGATGCACTGCTGGGCCAAACAGCCATTGCAGTAGAGCCCATCCTCCTCCAGCCCATGGGCACAGCCAAAGGTGTAGCTCTGTGCTGTGTCCTGGCACAGGTTGGCCAGTTGTAAGAAGTCCTTCTGGTAGAGCCTGATGTCATCCAGGCTCAGACTGTGCCGGTCTGTCGACGTCTTTGGCTTTCTGCAGGTTGTCTGGGAAAAGAGAGGAGGCTCAGGACCCATCAGAGCATCACAGTATGTTAAGGGGTCGGAATGGCACTTAGAGATCATCCAGTGCCAGTGCAGGGACACCTCCCACCAGAGCAGGTTGCTCAAGGCTTTAGCCAACCTGGATTGAGCACTGCCAGGGTTGGGCCAGCCACAGCCTCCCTGGGCAACCTGTGCCACTGTCTCACCACTCTCACAGGAAGAACTTCTTCCTGAGTCTGAATTTGCCTCTTTCAATCTCTCCCCATTACTCCTTGTCCTGTCACTGCAGTTCCTACCCAAGAGTCCCTCTGCAGCTTCCCTGGAGCCCCTTCAGTTCCTGGCAGTTTGCTCTGAGGTCTCCACACAACCTTCTCCTCTCCAGGCTGAACAGCCCCAACTTTCTCAGCCTGTCCTTGTAGGGAAGGTGCTCCAGTGCTCTGAGCAGGTTTGTGGCCTTCTCTGGACTTGCTCCAACAGTTCCCTGTCCTTCTTATGTGACAACCCCACCAAAGCTTCACCAGCACCATGTACCTGGGGTAAGGAGTCAGTGCTCTGCCCCCGCAGCTTCACCACTGTCTCTGAGGAGCTGGAGGTGGAGGAGCTGATCTCTTTCACAATAAGTCCTACATGGACAAGAGAGGAAGAGGAGGGTGCAAAGGTTACTTTGAGAGGTGTCTCAGCTCACTTGGGATCCATGTCTGCTGCTCCTGGGGGCTTGCCTGTGCTTTGGGGCAATGGCACCCTCAGCTCCTTGGGGTGACTTCATCCCAATGGCTCCAGCTGCAACTGGTGTTACCTACAAAGTATCCCAAATTTGCTCCAAAATGGCATCCAAAGCCATTCCCAGGGAGCTCAGCACCTCAGAGACCTTCCAGCAGCTCCCAGCATGGAGCTGGAAATATGGGTGACTCTCTGGGTGCATGCACAGCTCTGGAGAAGATAATTGAGTTCAGCCATTCGCCCAGCCCACCACTAACCATGTCCCCAAGTGCCACACCCACATGGCTGTTAAATCCTTCCAGGGATGGTGACTCCACCGCTGCCCTGGAAAGCTGGGCCAGGGCTGGACAACCCTTTCCTGGAAGAAACCTTTCCTAATATCCAATCTAAACCCTCCCTGGTGTGACCTGAGGTAGTTTCCTCTTTTTTGTACCTATCTCTCCTTCAAACCTCTGTGCAAATGCCTTTTTCTGGCATGCCAAGTGGACACAGGGCTAATTTCACTCTGCCAACCCCCAAAGAATCATAGAATGGAATCAGAGAGTGGCCTGGGTTGGAAAGGCCCTTAAAATTCCAACTCCCAAAGGTGAGACTTGCAATGGAGAATCGGAAATAGATTCATAGATTGTGAAGAGGTTGGAATGGAGTTTACAGATCATCCAGCCCCAATCCTCTGCCCTGGGCAGGGACACCTCCCACCAGAGCAGGTTGCTCAAGGCTTTAGCCAACCTGGATTGAGCACTGCCAGGGTTGGGGCAGCCACAGCCTCCCTGGGCAACCTGTGCCAGTGTCTCACCAGGGAAAACTTCTGCCTGAGATCTAATCTACATTTCCCCTCTTTCCATTTATCCCCATTACTCCTTGTCCTGTCACTGCAGTTCCTAACACAGATCCCTCTGCAACTTCCCTGGAGCCCCTTCAGCTCCTGGCAGGTTACTCTGAGGTCTCCACACAACCTTCTCTTCTCCAGGCTGAACAGCCCCAACTCCCTCAGTCTGTCCTTGTAAATGACAGATGAGATCAGGCAGCACCTTACCCGAGTGCCCGTTGAACTTGCGTGACAGCAGCATGTCCTCTGTGATGTAGACACACATGTCAGGGCTCACCTCCATCTCTCCTGCCTGCTCCAGCTCCCGGGGGTCATCCACCAGCATCTCAATTTCTGCCAGAAGAAGATAGGATGAATCATTGATGTGCACCTTCAGATCACCTCCAATCCCATTCACCCAAGCTGGAAATGCAAACTGGTGTCTCACCATCATCCTGAGAGTCCTCCTCCAGCCGGTCCTTCCCTCCGCTCTCCACGCCGGAGGTGTGGGAGCTGCCGTGGCTGGTCATGGAGCTGCAGGTCTTCAGCTTGCGGTGGGCACTGGCGCCCGAGAAGGTGTCCTCAGGCCCCACCTCCCTGGGCTTGGGGTCGGCCTCGATGCCAGAGGTGTGGGAGCTGCTGTGACTGGCAGTAGAGTGGCGGG